ATGCAAGCGTCAAACGCGAGACCTATTTCGGTGACATTAATGTTGTAATCATCGCTGCCCTCAGCGAACGACACGTCCAATACATCCATCACTTGATCCACGCGTTCACTCTTCACCACCGGATAAAAGAGCGTTTCGTCTGGACTCGCGGCCAACACTTCGTCCACAAAGACACGAATCGGATCCACAGCTGACTTACGGTCTTCGGCGGCAGACAATTGGCCATCGCTTCGCAAAACCGTCCGAAACTCGTCGCACAACTCCTGGTACTGACTCTGGAGCTGATGGCAGCGCGACTTCGGCTCCAGACAGTCGTCGCATTGGCAGCGGTGGCAGAAATCGTTGAGATTATCTCTGAACTGATCCACCAATTGGCACAACTTGTGGGCCAACGATAACTGGTTGACGAGGCGGCGATTCTCGGCCACCAACTCGTCAAAGACATCCCTGGCCTCCACTCTCGCGGTGGCCATCGGTTCCAGCGGTCAATAGCTTTGGTTTTCAATTAGTTTTAATGCTTTTTGTTTACAACACAACAAAACATATGATTTCTTGTTGTCTTATACATGTATTATGTATTAAGCGAAATATACATCAATTACGGCTAAACTCAACGTTAACTGTGGGCCGAGTTTTTGGTACCTTTTTCTATAGTATTACGCATAGAGTGTGCGCTTATAATAGGCACACATTTTACTCCATAATCATTGACACAGTATTTATGTTTATGGCATTTAAACCCTACATTTCAAGACAAATAAATCCCCTGAAATTCAATTGATTTAAATTATTTTGAAATAATTGTTACAATTTAATTAAATGACCATGGTACACATTTAGTTTGCATTTAATTACGTCAAATATACTAGAACTACTATTTTGAACACGATCAAAACTTATAATTATTTATATAATAAACATATAAACTGCACGAACTATGATAGAGATAATGATAACGTTAATTACATGTTTAGTTATAATCGCTATTAATAATTAACTTTTAATATATACTGGAAGACAATATTCAGGCAATAGTAACCCATATATAAGTCATTCACTACTTCGGGAACCACTAGCTTATGATCGTTTAGCTCTGGCGGCCAATTGTCTCATCTCAGGTGCGTTGAGTCTGAAGACAACAGTCTGATCGTCATGTGTGATATCAATTGGTCCCAACTTCTTGTAGAAAGCGACTGATCCGTGATTCAACTCAAAGCAGTCCCACTCAAAGCGCTGACAGCCGTCGGTCAGCGCTCTGTTGGCCACTGCGGCCATGAGTGCCACTCCGGCACCCGTTCCCCTGCACTCCCTCTTCACATACAGGCTCTCCATCCACACACCCCTTCCCGTCCACGTCGAGTACTTCGGGTAATACAATACGTAACCGACGAGTGTCTGCGGATCGGCCACCGATTGGGCCACAAATATGCGGAACTGTCGCTGCGATTCTTCGGCACAAAAGCCGTCCTCTTCTAACTGTTGGACACTAACTATCGGATCGTCCGTCCATTTGGTGTCGGGATCGGCGGTCGACTTCTGGTGTGCGCCCAACTCGGCAAACATGTCCACCAATTGCCGACAGTCCTCTTTCCGGCCCTCCCTTATAGCGAACATTGCTTTTGTTGACAATATTTTGCGTTCAATTCCTATGCGATTCTCTATTAGCAACAAAAATAAAGTATATTTACTATATTTATATTTAAATATTTTAATTTTTAAAATATAATAAATATGTGTACTATATTTTAAATATAATAAACTGACCTGGAAGAATTGGTATATATCAAATAAATTAAATACTGAACACAAATTTAATATTTGCTAAATATAATACAAGTATTGAGAAAATGTGAGAATTGGTGGCATTGAAATTTAAGTATGATTAAACACTTCATAAATATGTGTAATATTTGCACTAGCAGCTAGTGACTAGCTGCTCGTTTCACAAATTAAATTATGATGTGTTAATTATACGCTAATTATTATACCATTATACAATTTCTTTATAAAACAAAATAACAACGATAATAAATGTCTAAATTCTTGAGTATTTTTATTTATTATCGATTATTCTTCAATATCCCTGTAATGTATCTCAAGTGCAGTATTATACAGTATAAAGTACAGAATAATGTAATTGTTTTTATGCTATTCTTATACATACAGTATATTTGCCATAAAAAATTATGATATTCAATATTATTGATATGATGTTTATAATTTAAAAAACACAATTAGTGACATGAAAATCACAAAAATAAATATGCAATATATTTGGCACAAACATTACAGTTATATAAAACATTTTATTAAATTAGACCTTGATACCGTAATACCCATTTGTAAATTTTAATCATTTTCAACAACTATGTAATTTATATCTATATAATAATGAGATAACAATAGACAATAGTAACCTAAGTGTATATTAGCGTTGACTTCAAGTGTTTAGGATGAGTTAGCTCTGGCGGCCAATTGTCTCATCTCCGGTTCGTTGAGTCGGAAGACAACGATTTGGTAATCATGGGTCGTATCAATGGATCCCAACTTCTTGTAAAAAGCCATCGATCCGTGATTACACTCATAGGAGTCCCACTCAAAGCGCTCACAGCCGTCAGTCAGCGCTTTCTTAGCCACAGCGGCCATAAGTGCGGCGCCGGCACCCGTCCCTCTAAACTCCTGCCTCACATACAGGCTCTCCATCCACACACCCCTCCCCGTCCACGTCGAGAACTTCGGGTAATACATAGTATAGCCCACGAGTTGGTTCGGATCGGCCACCGATTCGGCCACAAATGTGCTGAACATTCGCCGCGATTCGTCGGCACAGAACCCGTTCTCTTCCAACTGTCCGATACTAACCACCGGAGAGACAGTCTGTTTGTTGTCGACACCGGTGACTGTCTTAAAGTAGTGGCCCAACTCCACAATCATGTCTACTAATTGCCGACAGTCCGTTTTCCGGCCCTCTCTTATAGTGAACATCGCTTTTGTTGGCATTGATATTAAGTTAATGCGATATTTTAATTCAATTCCTGTGCGATTCTCTATGCAATCAATTACAACATTTGTATTCATTTATATTTATATAGTCTTAAAATACAGTATAGTTATAAATTATAACTTATAATCGTGTGATAAGTATAATTATGGTATGATAAGAATAGTGTACACTGATTAAATATAGCACACATGCATATACTGTATGTGACAAATGTGATTAAAATTGTCACATATTCTACAATACCTAAATGCCCAATTAATGGCATTGAAATTTTAAAATGATCAACATTTGATAAATGTGCACTAGATTTATAAATTTTAAACGATAACAATTTTCTAACATAGATTCTTGAACATCATTTGCACTTTTTATTGCTAATTTTTCAATATTCCTGAAATCTATTCCTATCACATATTATATTGCTATTAAATTATGTCAATAGTAAATACAAATGTAAATTACACAGTATATTTTATTATTATGGCAAAAGGTTTAATTAAAATTTAAAGTAATAATAAGATTATATTATTAGAAAACATTAAAAGCAACGCAAATTTCAAATTAAACAAATGGATTATTTATTACTTGTAAAATCTTACTTTAGATTAAATTATCAATTAAAAAACATTGTGATAAAAAGTACATTTCACAATTTACCATGAATTTATAAATAATGAATTTAACAACTCAATTTAAACATTAAGTAATACAAAAAAACATAGTATAATTATATACCAAAAACAGTTAAATCGTATTTATTTAACATACATTATATTACTAATTTACTATGGTAATTAACATTGTTAAGATATCTTTAGATATCTATTGTATAATATCATAATATTATTACAGTATAATAAACACCAATATTAATTATAAATGCATAAAATTGGTTAATAAATTTATTAATTTAATATTACTTTTTATAATAGTTTTATATGACATTTACTTTTGCGACTTATGGGAAGCGTTGGCCAGTTGTGAGCACTGGTGAGCAGTGAGACGGTAACACAGCAAGCCGTCCGTTTCCGTTGAATTAATGGCTCCCAACTTCTTGTAAAACTTCTGATTCCAATCCAAACAATTCCACTCGAGTCGAGCGCATCCCTCGTCTACAGTCTGTTTGGTCACCGCTTGCATCAAAGCGAACCCCACTCCAGACCCCCTGTACTCGGACTTTACATACAGATCTTCCATCCACAGAGTCCTGCCCTCCCATGTGTTGTATTTGCTGTAATAGAGAGCGTAACCGATCGGCTCTCGGCTGCCGTCATCGGCGGTCCTTTCGGCCACAAACGTGCGAAACAATGGGTCGCCCAACCGGTCAAAGCCGTCCCTCTCGAGCACCTGTCGGTCTAATTTGGGTCCGTCCGGCTTCTTCTCATATACGGACAGCTCTCGGATCATAGTATCAATGGCTCCGCAGTCCTCTCTCACA